TTTCGGGTTTTAAGGCTAGAAGGGGTTCCCGGGAGTGGTACAAAGTCATGAATGATTTACGGGAGGGTCCACGAGCTCACTCCCTTTGGAGTTTATGGCCCAAAAGCCATCCTTTGGGAGTTTACGGCCGTAAAACCCCCTAGGTTTTGGCCGTAAACTCTTGTTGCACTCCAAGTGTATGTTTAAGGTCTTATTTCACTTCCTTGATTTAGTGTATGTGTCTTGGACTATTTTAAGGGATTAAACATCATAATTTGTGACATTTTTGGGGAGTTTACGGCCAAGACTTGTTCTTGGGCCGTAAACTCTTGTAAACCCTTCAAGATGTATGTTTTATTGGTACAACAAAGTCTCATACACCTTAGATAAATCCTAGAAGGCCATATAGTGAGTTTGGGACAATTTGGCATATATTTTTGGGGAGTTTACGGCCCAAGAACATCCTTGGCCGTAAACTCTTCATTTTGTATCCAAATGTGAAGTTAATGGTACAACACACTTCCAAAGGCCTTAGCTAAAATCCTTACATGCATTTGAGGGGTTTTGGGACTTGTTTGACACAAAAACATGGGTGTTTACGGCCCAAGCTTAGCCTTGGCCGTAAACTCCTCTTTTTGCCATCAAATGATGTTGTTTGATGCATTTAAGCCTTCCTTGTTGTCAAGTCTAAATTGCCAAACACCCTAGATGAGTTTTTGGGACTTTAAACAAGTGTTTTTGGGGTGTTTGAGGTGTTTACGGCCTAAGCACATGCTTGGGCCGTAAACTCCTTTTTACATGTCTAATCCATGTGTTTTAGTGTCCAAACCCTTCTAGATACATGCCTTAATTAGTATACTAGCTTAACATTGAGGAAAAAACTTGATCTTTGGCATGATTTTGGGGGTTTACGGCCTAAGGAGCTTCTTAGGCCGTAAACTCCTTTATGGTCCTTGATTCTCATGATTTTGGACTCTAAAAGCAGTAAAGTATGATTAGATTAAGTTAGGGGATGAATCCTTACGTTTGGAAGTCGGAAATTCGCGGATTTGGAGTCGATTTCGGGTCTAGAGAGAGAAAGTAGTGAGAGAGAGGTGTAATTGTGGTAAAAGAGTCCAACTGAAGTGTTCAAGTGTTTTTATATGTCTCGGGTATTGTACCCGATACACGGCTACTCGATGCTAAAGTTTAACGGGGTTAAAACTTTTTACCCGGGTGAAGTGGTTGAAACAGTAATACAACTCTATTAGGTTAAACTAGATTAACACGTATGAGTTATATTACTTATAATGATATTAGGACATGCATATAATTAGATATTCGGATATTAACGATTCCAAATATTACATAAATAACGTACGTTAACGTATTCCGTTAGTGAAAATGGGATTTGTAACGGGAATAGATTTAGGGTTGTCACATCATCCCCCCGTTAGGGGAATTTTGTCCCGAAATTTTAGAATTCATACATATAAGAGTTACAGTACAACTACGTGAAGAGATGGGGGTATTTGAGTTTCATTTGGTCTTCGTGTTCCCAAGTGAATTCCGGTCCTTGTTTGGCGTTCCACTGAACTTTCACAATTGGGATACGGCTTTGCTTCGTTCGTTTTACTTCTCGATCCATAATCTCAGCAGGTTCTTCCACGAAGTTTAGGCTCTCATTGACCTCAATCTCGTCAAGGGGAATTACGAGTATCTCGTCTGACAGGCATTTCTTCAAGTTAGAGACGTGAAAGGTAGGGTGTGCTATGTATGAGATTGTGTGCCATGTATGAGATTATGTGCTATGTGATGTATGTATGATATATAATTGTATAGACCGGGCCGGAGGGTCTAACAATTCAGACTGGGCCGGAGGGCCCAACGAGCTATGGGACTGGAGGGTCCCATTGAGACACATCGACCGGAGGGTCATACAGTAGTCTCGAGTGGCGTATGTGTTGTATGTGGTATTTTGGGGGGCTCACTAAGCATTTATGCTTACAGTTGTTGTGTTATGTGTTTCAGGTACTAGCGAGGACCGTGGAAAGGCGCCGATGTAACCCGTACACACAGAGAAGGGATTTGATTTCATGATCTTGGGATATGTTATGATTTGATAACTATTGTTGAATACTTCTGAGAATATTTTTATATAAATTCGGTTGTTGAAAATTGAAAATTTTTTTTTGAAAATTGTTTCGTTACAAGTTGGTATCAGAGCCTTGGTTTGAGGGACTCGGATGCACCTTCGGGCGTATCTGAACTCAAACTGAGGATTTGAGAAATTTTCAACAAATAAGAACTGGTTTTTCTAAAAAGAGCAACAAGTTTTGAAACAACCAGAGCAGAGCACTGTGTACGGTCGGCCAGCGCCCGAACGGTGAATCCCCAAAATACCCTTACATTACGTGTTATATGATATATTATGTTATGCATGCTAGAGTAGGCTAGGTATTCATATTAGGACTAGAGT